ATACTATCCTCGACTTTGGATCACGATATAGTTTTGCTAATTTTTCTCGCTCTACTTTGCATGTTTTTGAGTGATAATTAATAATTCAGTCTTTTCAAAACATAACGAAATAAGACGGTTGCTAAGTGTTCACTTGAGCAAAGAGTTTCTAATTGAGACGTTTCGGTTAGCATTGAAAACTTTATTTCTTGTACAGCAAATATATATATACTACAATGTCAATGATTTGAGTGACATGACTTGTGCAGGCAACAAACGTAAATTTGGGATCTCATATAAGTGTGTTATGCTGTGCAATCGTCCCTTTTATGTGTACTTGACGTTGCCTAGTCATTATTGAATTTAACAAATTAACACGACACGACAAACTGAGCGTTTCCTTGCGTCGTGGCTTTGTCAAATTATCACGTATTCAGCGTGTCCACATTTCACAAATGATTTACTTCATATTCCGTATTTGGGCACACATTTAAAGGATCTTGACACTCAATTATAAATGTCTACCAACTTGCATATTTAACATTTATATAACCAGTTCTACTTCGTATGTCAGTAATTCTTTGAAATATCTCTACCGATAATAATTATTATTCTAGGCGTTTCAAATATAATATTAAAACAAGACGGTTGCTCAGCGCTATAATCGATCAAACGAGTTCGATTATGTAACAAACTCCTCTTCACAAGTATTTGCATAGAGCTTTAATTTGGGCCACATAGAATCCGGATTAATAACGACTGAACTGGGTTGAGCTGTTGAGCTCCATTTTTCTATTGAAACAAAACAATATTTGGAGACAAAATGGTTTGCTAACGCACAATCTATATGGAAAAAAATTGAGAACAGGGAGGAAATCGGGAAGTAAGGCGAATACAAAACATTCTCAAGGCAGAAAGTGATGAAAATTAAAAAGTGTTATTTGCTTTTGAAAACGAAAGTTCTCTAAATGTTTGGTTTTTCAACGGTGATGTTATATAGAATTGAGTGCCAGGTCAGTTATTGGATATATTGATGTCCCTAATGAAGTTTTCCACAAGCACTTTGTGCCTATTTGTACCGAATGATCGACTCATTAATCAGCATAATGTACTTATATAGTGATAAATTAGAATGACGTTTGTGGAGCAGACACATAGCAGCCTAGCCACCTGCAGCATCATTACTATTAAAATTTAATGGCGTGCATGGCTTGTCGGTCGAATAGGTATCGCATCAATTAACATTGACTTGGCTTCCGAAAGCTTCAAACCTTAAGAGCAGAATTTATACTCCCGTCAACGAGGGAAGAATCACATTTTACCAGCCCTGCGTGTAGGAGATGTAAGTATTGAAACTTGAAATAAATGTGCTCGAATTATTTAATTTAAGTTGGTGAAATATTTCAGGTTTACTTCCTATAGTTGCTTACTAGGAAAATACAAAAAGAATTTACAAACAACGCAGAATTAGAAATCCTGGTGTGAACAATACCATATTAGATCACCCCAAGAATCACTTTCATTTTTTTACACGAAAACCATACGTTTCACAGACGAATTCTTTGTTTCTGCTTGATGTTTATAAGACCTTTCTAGGAACTGCGCTATATATAGAAGATCCACCTGCAAATTTGAAATTTAGAAAATGGTTTTCTTCAATTTTTTGTTATTTTTTAATATTTTTCGTCGTCTGATCAAATCTTGGGCCAATTTTCTGATGCGCAATTCCATTTTGCTCACAAAATACATAATACTCCAACATGACGCATAAATACAGCGTTCTTTTAATTCTGCTGGATTAAGTTTAGGCTTAAACTAGCGTAAGAATATATTTACATCTAGATTTTGGTTCTATTTTAATAATATCGCTGCTAGTTCGCCGTTTAAAGATATGGTACCGCATGGCGCGTAAAAACGTCGCATGTGATTGAAAAAGAATACGACCAAGCTCTAACGCAACATGAACCATTTATATTCGTGAACACATTACACATATTACACCGCACACTAATATAAGACATTCGAAATTAACATTTACTCGGCTTCCAATATCTTCAAACGTTAAGAGCAGAATTCAAATTCCCGTCAACGAGGGAAGAATCACATTTTACTAGCCCCGCGTGTAGGAAATGTAAGTATTGAAACTTGAAATACTGTAAATGTTCTCGAATTTTAATTTAAGTTGATGAAATATTTCAGGTTGTCTTCCTAGTTACTTACTAGGAAAATACAACAAACAATTTACAAACAACAAAGAGTTAGAAAACCTGATGTGAACAAGACTATGTTAGACCAGCCCAAGAACCACTTTTATTTTTTACACAATAGCCATACGTTTCACGGACGAATTCTTTGTTTCTGGTTGATGTTTATGAGACCTTTTAAGGAACTGCGCTAAAGAAGAGCCACCTGCAAATTTGAAATTTAGAAAATGGTTTTGACATGACGCACAAATACACCGTTCTTTTAATGCTGCTCGATTAAGTTTAGGTTTAACTGGCGTAAGAATATATTTTCATCTAGATTTTGGTTGTATTTTAATGATATCGCTCCTAGTTCGCCGTTTAAAGATATGGTACCGCATGCATGACGCGTAAAAACGTCTCATATGATTGAAAAAGAATACGACCAAGCTCTAACGCAGTATGAACATTTATATTCGTGAACACATTACACATATTACACCGCACACTAATATAAGACTGGCATACGCGAGGCGCGCTAGAGCAGGTGTCTTGTTTAACTAGAAATAGATGCTTGTGCTGGTCTAAACTTTAAATTGAAAAGAAAAGATCCTACAGAAAATTTTGGGGAGGACGAACCCAGCTTGGTGGACAAAAGTCGAGAAGCGGCAGAGCAGGTGTCTTGTTTAGCTAGAAATACATGCATGCAAAATCCTCATGCCTATATGAGGCAATTTTCTTAAAAAGTAAAGGCTATTGTGCAATGTAATTAATTTTCTGAATGTAAAATATTTCAGTATTTTTTCAAAATTAATGCATGGAACCAATTGTGCTCGAAACTACTGAATAATCGACTTCCCATCACTGGCGTAGATTCATATATTATTCTTATGGTCATCGCAATGTGAAATATTTCAGAGATCGATTGTGCTCGACACTTCTGAATACTCGACTTCCTATGCATCAGTAGAGTAGTTCATATATTAGTCTTATGGTCATCGCATCCGTCTATAGCAAATAATTAACGCATTGTGAACAGGACAACACGGCCCTTACATGGTTTTATGAAAACATATAATTTTCACGAGGGAATTGACAAAACAATAGTTTTGCTACTTTCCATGACAGTGAAACACATCTAATTAACTACAGATGGTACTTAATATTCACTTTTTCCAAAGCAAAACGAGACAAGACGGTTGCTAAGCGTTCACTTGAGCAAAGAGTTTCTATTTGAGACGTTTCGGTTAGCATTGGAAAGTTTACTTCTCGCACAGCAAATACGTTCTACAATATTAATGATTTGACACGACTTGTGCCAGGTAAATTTGCGATTTCATATATGTTTGTCAATGCTGTGCAATTTTCCACAAGCACTTTGTGCCTATTTTTACCGAATGATCAACTCATTTGAGTCATTCCAGAAATATACACCCGAGTTTGCTAGCTTGCTTTAAAAAGCAGAGATAGTCTGCATAATATATTTAAGTAGCGATATAAATAAGTGGGAAGTTTGTGGCGCAGACACATAGGCGCCTAGCTACCTGCAGCATAATTATTATTAAAATTCAATTGGGTGAATGGCTTGTCGGTCGAATAGGTATCGCGTCAATTAACATTGGCTTGGCTTTCAATAGCTTCAAACCTTAAGAGCAGAATTTATACTCCCGTCAACGAGGGAAGAAGCACATTTTACCAGGCCCGCGTGTAGGAAATGTAAGTATTGAAGTTTGAAATAGTTTTGAAGTTGGTTTTCTTCAATTTTTGTTATTTTTTTTAAATATTTTTCGTCGTCTTATCGAATCTTGGGCCAATTTTCTGATGCGCAATTCGATTTTGCTGATATAATACATAATACTCCTCCATGACGCACAAATACACCGTTCTTTTTATGCTGCTCGATTAAGTTTAGGTTTAACAGGCATAACAATATATTTACATCTGGATTTTGGCTCTATTTTAATAATATCGCTGCTATTTCGCCGTTTGAAATTGAATACGACCAAGCTCTAACGGAGTAAGAGCCATTTATATTCGTGAAAACATTACACATATTACACCGCACACTAATATAAGACTGGCATACGTGAGGCGCGCTAGAGCAGAAGTCTTGTTTAACTAGAAATAGATGCTTGTGCTGGTCTAAACTTTAAATTGAAAAGAAAAGATGCTACAGAAAATTTTTGGGAGGACGAACCCAGCTTGGTGGACAAAAGTCGAGAAGCGCCAGAGCAGGTGTCTTGTTTAACTAGAAATACATGCATGCAAAATCCTCATGCCTATATGAGGCATTTCACGATTTTCTCAAACAGTCAAGGCTATTGTGAAATGTAATTAATTCTCTGAATGTAAAATATTACAGTATTTTTTCAAATTTAATGCATGGAAGCAATTGTGTTCGAAACTAATTAATAACAGACTTCCTTATATCAGTGCGTATATATAGATTCATATATTAGTCTTATGGTCATCGCATCCGTCTATAGCAAATAACGCATTGTGAACACGACAACACGGCCCTTACATGGTTTTATCAAAACACACGATTTTCAGAGTGTTCACATTTTACATGATCTACTTCACGAGGGATTTGACAAAACAATAGTTTTGCTAATTTTTTTCGCTCTACTTTCCATGACAGTGAAACGCATCTAACTAACTACAGATGGTACTCTTTCCAAAGCAAAACGAGAAAAGACGGTTACTAAGCGTTCACTTGAGAAAATTTGCGATTTCATATATGTTTGCCAATGCTGTGCAATTTTCTACAAGCACTTTGTGCCTATTTGAACGGAATGATCGACTCATTTGAGTCATTCCAGAAACATAACTCCGAGTTTGCTAGCTTGCTTTGAAAAGCAGAGATAATCTGCATAATATATTTAAGTAGTGATATAAATTAGTGGGAAGTTTGTGGGGCAGACACATAGCCGCCTAGCTACCTGCAGCATAATGATTATTGAAATTTAATTGCGTGCATGGCTTGTCGGTCGAATAGGTATCGCATCAATTAACATTGACTTGGCTTCCAATAGCTTCAAACCTTAAGAGAAGAATTTATACTCCCGTCAACGAGGGAAGAATCACATTTTACCAGCCCCGCGTGTAGGAAATGTAAATATTGTAAGTTTGAAATACTTCTGAAATTGGTTTTCTTCAATTTTTGTTATTTCTTTAATATTTTTCGTCGTCTTATCGAATCTTGGGCCAATTTTCTGATGCGTAATTCGATTTTGCTCACATAATACATAATACTCCTACATGACGCACAAATACACCGTGCTTTTAATGCTGCTCGATTACGTTCACGTTTAAGTGGCGTAAGAATATACTTACATCTAGATTTGGTTCTATTTTAATAATATCGCTGCTATTTCGCCGTTTAAAGATATGGTACCGCATGGCGAGTAAAAACGTCGCACATGATTGAAAAAGAATACGACCAAGCTCTAACGCAGCATGAACCATTTGTATTCGTGAACACATTACACATATTACACCGCACACTAATATAAGACTGGCATACGCGAGGCGCGCTAGAGCAGCTAGGTATCTTGTTTAACTAGAAATACATGCTAGTGCTGTTCTAAACTTTAAATTGAAAAGAAAAGATCCTACAGAAAATTTTGGGGAGGACGAACCCAGCTTGGTGGACAAATGTCGAGAAGCGCCAGAGCAGGTGTCTTGTTTAACTAGAAATACATGCATGCAAAATCCTCACGCCTATATGAGGCAATTAACAATTTTCTTAAACAGTGAATACTTTTGTGAAATGTAATTAATTCTCTGAATGTAAAATATTTTAGTATTTTTTCAAAATTAATGCATGGAAGCAATTGTGCTCGAAACTACTGAATAATCGATTTCCCATCAGTGTCGTAGATTCATATATTAATTAGTCTTATGGTGATGCATCACACCCGTCCATAGCAAATAACGCATTGTGAACACGACAACACGGCCGTTACATGGTTTTATCAAAAAACATGATTTTCAGAGTGTTCACATTTTACATGATCTGCTTCACGAGGGAATTGACAAAACAATAATTTTGCTCATTTTTCTCGCTCTACTTTGCATGATAGTGAGTGTTTGAAATTATCTCGACAGATGATTATTAATATTCACTCTTTTTAAAGCAAAAGAAAACAAGACGGTTGCTAAGCGTTCATTTGAGCAAAGAGTTTCTATTTGAAACGTTTCGGTTACCACTGGAAAGTTAACTTCTCGTACAGCAAATATTTACTACAATACAATGTCAATGCTGTGCAATTCCTTTCTTTTGTGTGTACTTGACGTAGCGTCATCATAATTTAATTTAACAAATTATTATTCTTTTTTTGTAAGCTCACGTTCTGATTGGTCGATTTGTACCACGTGAGTGGATTTTATATAGCAACAACGCCACGGCAGAGCCGTTATAAAATTTATTACATGTGTGCATAACACTCTAACTCTTCGTCAATATGACTGTTGTGGGTATTAGACAAATAATTGTGAAAGTGTATCTATGATGATCATCTCTTTACAAGGCTTATACTTTAGCGTGAAGTCGTACCGTTGTAAACTCAATAGCATTCTCTGCGTCGACAGGTTTGGCGTACGTGTACTCGTTAAACTTTTCGAATGCAAAAACAACTGCCAGCAGCTCCCTTTCGATTTGAGCATACCGAGTTTCCTATCTGTAAGAGCTCTCGACGCAAACGCGACTGGTTTATCATCCTTTGGCTAGTTGTATATAAGACTAGTTAACTTTTAACTGTAGTTAAGGACAGAATTGGCCAATGAGAGTTGTGTATTTCTGAGTAAACTAGGATTTATCTATATGCAAGGTGTAGTTAAAGAGTTTTGTACAACCAGCAACAGAATTAACGTAGTTTCCAAACCACATTTTGACACATCACACATCGATGTCACAGACTTCTTCACGTCGTAGTATGCAAGATGCTCATCGTTAGAATATCTTTTATTTCTTCCAAGTCGTCCAAGAACAATCTTATAGCTTTGCACTGAGCGCAACTGGTGTGCTACACAAGAGACTGACAACTGGGGTAATCGTAGGGTCAACTTCGATGTTTTAAGGCTTCTTTAAGCATCCCCCTTGAAATGACTTTAGTAAATTTCTCTGAAATTGTTTCTGCTGGTTGACGTTAATTAATGACGATCAAATTTAACTCCAGAGAATCTTTCAACCCAATGATAGGCACTTGTGCGCTTTTGACAACGAAAAATTTCGATGTCTTATTGTTTCACTTCAGATTGCATTCTCCCACCACCGACGGATAATCACCAGTGTATGGCCTAGGTTAAACGTCGCATTTTAATCCCGTCGAATGCAATTCAAACAATAGATAACGAGATGATAATGAAGCTTAATGAGGTGTAACATCTCATTATCTATTGTGTGCATTGCATTGTAACGAACAAATGTAACAGTATTATTTTGACTTGCGCTTCTGTATCAATCTTGAACTTTATCTCCCTTTCTTCCACCGATAGGATTTTTAATTCATTGTCTTCGTTTGGCATCGACTGATTCACCGCTCCAATGAACAACGGCTCGTCAGTTGTACCTGCTTCATCCACTGCGTGAATTTTCTCCCCTGACTTGCAAAATTTTGCAAAATGATTATTCTTGTTACAATTCAAACATTTTTTGCCAAATGCTGGTCACTTTTTTAGTGGATGAACCTTTCTACACTTTCCGCAACGCGATAAGTGACCCTGCCTGTTGTTTTTCCGCTTGACTTCTCGCCTTCGAACACATATTGATCAATCGTCACATCGTCATTTGCAGCCTAGTGTTAACTTGTATCTCTCCATGATCTTGTTCCTCCTTGGTTTACAATACTCGTCTAACTTCGCAATACATCTATCTTATCCGCGTCAGCCACTGTAAACTTCATAGTGATAAATGTGTCGCCCGTTTTGTCAGATCGCATGCCGGAACGCCGCACATGTTTAATCTAAGGTATAATTGCATAGTTTCCTTCCATCGTCTCCATCTTTCAGATAAAGATAACTGCTCAGCAGTTGAGAAATTCAGCTTTATAAACGGCTTCATCCTGACACCGTGTAATGTTATTAGCCCTTTATTAAGTTACAACATCTAGCTTTATAGCACAAGAAATCTCATTAAAATGAATGCACGTATAAATAGCGAATATATTACAGGATCACGATATTCTTGCTCACTTTTATCGTTTTACTTCAAAGTTCTAATGTCAGTAACTCTTTAAAATATTTCGACCGATGATAATTAATATTCCCTGTTTCAAAGACAAAATAAAAACAAAACGGTTACTCAGCGAGCTAACGAGTTTATATCCGTGATATTTCGGTTATCATTAAAAAGTTTAACTCTCATGACTTGTGAAAATCACATACATACGAAACTTCCAAATGTTGGGTTTGGACAACCATGTTTAATTAAATTCAATAATCAGTTCATCATAAGAATAAAAAGCGGATGTTCGTAAGCAATTTGTACCTAGAAAGTATATACAAGGCATAGTGGCTTCCACTTGTAAATAATTTTCAGAGTTGCATCAAAATCCCAACGTGTTTAGACGAACACATCGGCCATACACCCGCAAACCTAAACATTTAACCATACACCCATCAAGCCATCCATCTTCCCAACCAACCACCCAACACCTAACCATCCATCCATCCATCCATCCATCCATCCACCCTTCCACCCGTCCATCCATCCATCCACAAACCTGGCCAACCCATCTATACAGCAATCCATCCACCCGTCTCACCACTGCCTTTATGTGGGCGGCGAAAATTGTCGTTGGCAAGTGTTCACATGTAAAGGTACCCATCCTAAGCATTATATCTTCTATATTTTATTTAGCTTGAGGAAGGAAACTTAAAAGCTGGAAAAGGTAGAGTGTGAAGAAAAAGAATCCGAGCAACAAGGTATAATATTGAAGCTAGGCTTTTAGAAAAAGCCACCATCAGCAGTTGTAAACAAGTAAGCATTGCTATTGAAAATCACGAATAAAAATATATTGTCCTTAATTAATTAAAGGACCATTAAAACACGATTAACCATCTGAAAAGCTTAGCAATTGACATTGCTTCTAGTGCTCGCTTAGCGATGGGAGATCTCGCTTCAGAGGTGCAAAACAGTATCGATGTGGGAAACGCTTACGCGAATTTAGGTCATTATGACCAGGCTATCGACTGTTTCAGAAACTCGTTACAGATAGCAACGGAATTCGGCAACCAAAATGGTATAGTTCATGCTAATATGTATTTGGGAGATGTTTACAAAAGATTAAAAGACTATGAAAAAGCTATTAGCTGTTTGAAAGAAAGCTTACAAATTAGCACGAATATTGGCGATACGTATTTAATGGCAGAGAGCAATCGCCAGTTAGGTAATATTTATTATTCTTTAGGAAAGTGGAAAATCGCAATTAGCCATTGGAAAAAATCATTAGAATTAGGAACAGCAATTGACAATCCAGGAATAATAGCAAAGGTCAATCACAGTTTAAGCTACTCTTACGTTCAGCTAGGAAGAAACGACGAGGCACTTTTATGTCTCGAAGAAGCGTTAAGAATTTTCACCGCCATTGGCGACCAGAAAGGAAAAGCTAGTGCTAATATGAGTTTGGGCAGATTTTATCAAAGAACGGAAGACTATGAAAAGGCAATTATCTTTTTGAAAGTCAGCTTAGAAATTAGCACGGCTATTGGTGATCAGTCATCAATGGCAGAACAGAATAGAAATCTAGGTGATCTTTATCGTTGTATAGAAAAGTGGGAAAGCGCAATTGACCATTATAAGAAAACATTAGAAATGGGAAAAGCAAAGGGCGATCAAGGGGAAACAGCAAATGTCAAATGTAATTTAGGCATTTGTTACATTAAACTAAAAAGAAATGAAGAAGCACTTCAATGCTTCGAAGAAACGTTAAGAATTTTCACCGCCATTGGCCACCAGGAAGGAATAGCTGAGAGTAATAGCCGTTTAGGTCACATCTATTCTTTTTTCAGTGAATACGAAAAGGCATTTGCTCACTTAAAACACGCTTTAAACATATATAAGGCTATTGATGACGAAAATGGAATTAAATATGTCAGTAACGAATTGGGCCGTGTTCACTGCTCTTTAGGTGAATACAGCAAAGCCATCGAATGGCACAAAATATCTTTAGAGATGGCAAAGAAGGTTGATGACCAAGCGGGTATAGTAGAAGCCAATTGTGATTTGTCATCAATTTACCAAAGAATAGGAGAGAATGAGAAGGCCAGTAGCTATATAAAAGATAGCTTTAAAATCGCCATGGCTATTGGTAATCAGTCATTAATTGCAAAATACTATTTCTATTCAGGTAATATAGAATTTGAATCCAAAAAGTGGGACAAAGCAATTGACTATTATGAGAAAGCATCTAAAATTTTCATAGCAGAGGGCGATCAAACTGCCATAATCACGATCAATGGCAACTTGGGAACTTGTTACCGTGAACTAGGAATGTATGATAAGGCTTTGAATTACCACAAAGAGAGTTTAAAATTAGCCAAAACGACTAGAATGCGATCAGGGATTGCAGAAGCAAACAGAGATATGGGCATCATTTATAGACTGTTAGGTGATAGTGAAAAAGCCATTGAATATGGTACAAAAAGTTTAGAAATAAGCACCATTATTGGCGAGCCGTTTATGAAAATACGCAGTTGTGAAGAACTTGCAAATGTTTATAAGAGTTTAGGAGAATATAAACTGGCATCATCATATTTAGTAAAACTTATTAAAGTTCTTGAAGAGCAGTTCCAAAGTAAGGTTCCCGATGAAAACAAACTCTCCTTCACAACTTTTTTCTGTAGGGCCCATGGAGAGTTAATGAGTTGTTTTGTTTCTTTGGGGCGAATAGAATCAGGATTACTAGTGACTGATCTGGGAAGAGCTAAAGAGCTCCATTTTTCTATTGAAAGAAAACAAAATTATTTCGATGCACAATTGTCTCATTACGCACAATCAATATGGAGCAAAATTGAGAAAAGGGAAGAAAATCGAGAAATAGAGCGAATACAGAACATTCTTCACGTAAAAAATGATGAAATTTCAATAGTGTTATTTGCGTTTGATTTCAATGAATGGTCTCTGAAAGTTTGGGTTTTGAATAGTGATGTCACCTTTAAGTGCTTACCTGCATCGAATATATGGGCGTTTGTGATGAATTTTTCCGCAAGGAGAGGTGTCAACGTTAATCGAGATACTTCATTTTTTAAACTTGATTCACTTGCGAATGAACATAGTTTTGATAGTCAGATGATCTCACCGCGAACCCGCAAGCCGTGCAAAAGGGAAAAGCCTGAAGGCTTGCGCGAAAAACATTCGAGCGCCGATAATTGCAGTGATGAAAATAGTTTGAAAAAGCTGTTCGATTTTCTCATTCAACCGATAAGAGATGCCGTCAAAGGTAATAAGCTCATTGTTGTTCCTCACGGGCCACTGTTTTTTGTACCATTTTCTTCCCTGATTGATGAAAATGGGAGGTATTTATCTCAGAGTTACAGCATTCAAGTAACACCCTCATTACACACTCTGACGTTTACCAAAGAACAACCCGATGACTCTGACCTCGGTTTTGCGTTGTTTGTTGGTAATCCAAAAGTTGGGAGGGTTTCTTTGCATGGCACAGATGTCACACCTGCTGACCTACCCAAGGCGGCTGAGGAAGTTGCAAGTCTTTCAAAGCTCTTCACAGCAAGGCCTTTCGTAAAAGTTGAAGCGAAAAAACAGGTTATTCTCGGACTTTTAAGCGGTGCAAGTATAATTCACATTGCTGCTCATAGTGAACCAAAGAGGGGGGAAATAATGCTTGCTCCTGACCTTTCTTTAAATGAACCATCTTCTTCTCTTCCTAAGCAAGATTCCTATCTCCTCACACAACAGGATATTACGAGTATTTCATTGCAAGCTCGCTTGGTCGTCCTATGCTGTTGTTATACTGGAAAAGGTGAGCTTTCTCCAGAAGGTGTCATAGGTGTAGCTCGGTCTTTTCTTGCTGCTGGAGCTCGCTCTGTTCTCGCTACACTCTGGCCTATTAGTGATGATGCAACAAAAGAGTTTATGGAAGCATTCTACGGCGAACTGCTTCAGGAAACACCAGTTTGTGAAGCTTTAAGAAGGGTAATGAACCTCTTTCAGCAACACGAAAGAGAAGATTACCGCTCGTTTTTAATTTGGGCTCCATTTACTCTCTTTGGACATGATGTGATGTTTACAAAAGGCGACATTAAAACAATCAGAGAAAAATCCAGTCGAACTCTACCCGAATGTGGTTTTGCGTTGTTTGTTGGTAATCCAAAAGTTGGCAAAATTTCTTTGTATGGCACAGATTTCACACCTACTGATCTACCAAAAGCTGCTGAGGAGGTTGCAAGTCTTTCGAAGCTCTTCACAGCAAGGCCTCTCGTAAAAGCTGAAGCAAAAAAACAGGTTGTCCTCGGACTTTTAAGTGGTGCTAGTATAATTCATATTGCTGCTCATGGTGAACCAAAGAAAGGAGAAATATTGCTTGCTCCTTTGAATGAACCATCTTCGTCTCTTCAGAATCCAGATTCCTTTCTTCTCACACAAAACGATATTACGAGTACTTCATTGCAAGCTCACTTAGTTGTTTTATGCTGTTGTTATACTGGTGAAGGGGAGATTTCTTCAGAAGGTGTCATAGGTATAGCTCGGTCTTTTCTTGCTGCTGGAGCTCGCTCTGTTCTCGCCACACTCTGGCCCATTAGTGATGATGCAACAAAAGATTTCATGGAAGCATTTTACGGCGAACTGCTTCATGAAAGATCAGTTTGTGAAGCTTTAAGAAGGGTAATATACTTCTTTCAGACACACGAAAGAGAAGATTACCGCTCCTATTTAATTTGGGCTCCATTTACTCTCTTTGGACATGATGTGATTTTTACAAAAAGCGACATAAAAACAATCAGAGAAAAATCCAGTGAAACTCTGCCCGAATGTGGTTTTGCGTTGTTTGTTGGTAATCCAACGTCAGACTTGCCTAAAGCCACTGAGGAGGTTAATTGTCTTTCAAAGCTTTTCAAAGCAAAGGCCTTCGTGGAGGGCGAAGCCAAGGAACGGGTTTTGCTGGGACTTTTGACCGGGGCAAGTATTATCCATATTTCTGCACACATTGAAGCTCAGCAATGTGCAATAATGCTTGTGGAGGATGACATTTTGACGCAAAAGGATATCCAGGGCCTTTCTCTGAAAAGTAGCTTGGTTGTTTTATGCCTGTGTCATTCTGAGCAAGACGAAATCTTTCCAAAAGGTGTTGAAAGTTTAGCTCTGTCTTTTCTTGCAGCCGGAGCTCGCTCTGTTCTTACCACACTAAGGCACAGTGATGATGATGCAACAACGGAGTTTATAAAAGCATTTTATAATCACTTGCTGCATGAATCATCAGTCAGGGAGGCGCTAGAGAAGACAAAGAAACTCTTTAAAAAGCACGATAAAGAGGCATACCGATCATTTGTAATCCGGGCTCCGTTTACACTCTACGGCGAAGATGTGATGTTTCAAAAACATGACATCGAAACGATAAAAGAGAAATCTCACGAAATGTTTTCTGGTTTTGTTGTATTACCACCATTAGATGAGCTTACTGGTTCGTTAACAAATAGCACCATTAGATGAGCTTACTGGTTCGTTTGAAAATCTTGATGTACAAAATAGATCTTAGTATAGGTTATTGTTGCGCATTTTGTAGTTTAGTTTAAAGAGGGGTATTTACAAGTTCTGTTTGGATCTATTAGACAGATATCCGAACATTGGGTAGATTTCTCAGTCTTTGCTTATACGAAAGAGATTTTCTATTGATTCACCCTTCAGCGTGAATAAACACAAGATTCACTTAGAACACAGAAAAATACATAGTTCTGATTGTAGAAAAGAGCGTAAAATATACTTCATTAATTGCATGAAGCGCCAGGTTGTGTAAAAAGTTGAATCCGCGTTGCGCTAACGAACGTGAATCGTGTATAATCATTATATAATCTTGACTTGGAAATGTTTTCGTTAAGCCTTATTCGTGTATGTAGACACAGTTTTGACAAAAAAGTATTACCTGACATGTATCTGTAATTTTTCACAACAATTAGCAGCTATTTTCCAGTGATTGATGTGCGTTAGAAAATCAGTGATTCCATCACAGGCTGTTCTCCACGAAAGATCTTCTCGTTACCTTCCAGGCGTAAGTATTAATATTCAAACTTTAACGTTCAATAGTTTATAAACCGTTCGAAATTCGAAGATGCTGCCAAGCTGATACATTTTCTGCGGATCATGCGACTCTGAATTTGTTTTTTTAAAAAATTACAAAACATTATACAGGCCAGCGATGTTATTAAAACAGCCTGGTGGAATTAACGTGCACTATCTTCGAACTTCTTTTTGAATCAATTCATTTAATGGCAGGAAAAAATTAATACATTTTCTGAAAGAATACCAAATACGCATGCGCTAACCAAAATTTTAAGAAAAATTATTTGAAAGAAAGCAAACCAACAAATATTGTCCTTAATTAATAGTTAATTGGCTTGCAGGTACACCACGTAAGAATAATAAATACTTACGTGGTGTACCTATACAAGCTAATTTACTTATTGGACATCACCATGCAAACGTACAAGAATATTATAAACATTGTCCTATTCAACATTTCTTAGATACACGAACTAGTACCGTGTATAGGATTTTATACTCCAACATACACCGGTATCTTTTTTCCAGAAATTCTAAAAAATACTTAAAGAATGCAGTTTGCGTAGGCAAGCAGCTTAACTGCAGCTGTTCTTTAAAACACTATTGGCGAATTTAATCCAGAAATTGCATTTTCCAAAAAATGTTAATTTTTAATGGAGGATAATCAGGAATTGCTCAAGAACAACGAAAAACGCTAACTCAGCAGCGCTTGAGAAACTATAATAATGGAAATAACAGCGAAAAATATTTCGTTGTTCTGAGCACAATCAATTAGCTTAACGCTATTTTTAATGTTAGGTATCTGACATTCAGTATAGTAATCTTAATTTTTTCATTGCATGAAAAATCTATCTATAAATTGTAAGACAGTACACAGCACCTAGTTTTCTCCAAAGGAAAAACGACCATTTACTTAAAACCAACATTCCATAACCTGGTGGAAGACAGCATCAGAGTTGCATTGGTATATTACACGACTGAGAATCAACGAGTGTGGTGAAATGATTTGAGTTTTGATGTCTCATACAAAAAGACCACATCCCAAACTTGGAAGCAGCCAGAGTCTATTTATTGGTCGTACGAAAATCTGCCAAGGAAACATTCCGTATTAGATTGGAGTCACTTAAAACTCCTATTGTACACAATTATTCAAACGCTCTTCGCAAGTTTACAATCACAAGTTGCCATTAAATGAAATACCGTGAATTTTGCTGGGGAAACTCGGCGCAAATGCACATTCCTAACAAAACATAAATACTGTTGTCATGAAAATACGTAAACCAAGAGCGACGATGTTTTAAGAAATTAACTTAAACTCGAGAACGAAAAACGGTGAAATTTCTGTGTTTGTGCAAAATGCAGAATGATATAAGCTGAAAGATAGAAGACTAAACAAGATAATTAGGCCTATCGATGGTTACCATCTGGTGAACAATGATTGTGTGTTAATATGATCAATATGAATCTCTATTGCTTACAACGATTCCAACATGACTTTCTCGGAGGATGCAAAATAACTTCAACCACGAAGCAATGAGAATACTATAAATAGATTTATGGTCCAAAGGGTATTGGTTTAAAGCTCGTAGATCATTAACTCGATCATTGTGATTTTATTCGAACAGTATAATTCACGAGAGATGGGCAAATGCGTCGAAGATTCTATGTTGCATTGCAAGAAACTACGAGGATATGATGATCCACAAGATGGTTATAAGGAATGTTGGTCATAATTTCAATAGAGAGACTTGGAGTTAGGCTTAGCTGATCAAATAATTTTTGCAAGTCACAATCGTGCCAGTGAAATTGTTCCTATATAATTTACACATCAGTTTATTTGCTCGTTAATAATTCAAATTTTGCAATCTCGCTGTAAATTACCGAAAAGGCCAAAATCATCTGTACCTTATCTTGCACCTTATTCGGTTACAATTGAAAAATCACAAAAATATTATCAGAATCAGGCACGCAGTGTCAAAAACTCCCAGACTAAATGATGTTGTTTTGCAAATGAATTAAATTAAGCTAGAATATTTTTAGAACACTTTCATTACCACGGCTGTAGCTCGGCATGATCTTTAACTTCCTACTACTGGTGGCCATATCTTGATTATCCTCCATTTGTTCACGTGATAACACCTTACTTTATGCATTTATCATAACGCGACTTCTGTCGGACACAGCAACCAATAGTAGTTTAATAATTAACGTATTTAGTATAAATATCATTTCACATAGTAAACATTTTAGCATAAAATCTAGACTTTATAAAGGACCAAAGTATCATTGATTATTAGTAATTAGTAAATGCATGAACATCCATCTTAGTTAACTTTTTATCTTTTAATCGTATTTGATTGTCTCTCAAAGACACCATTTTAGTATTTACCCATGTATGCTATTTCAATATTAATAATATACTGTTGTTTTAAGAATCAAATTGTTTATTTTAAGAGTCAATGTCTTTACATTTTAGGCAAAGTTAATCAAGGTTTTTATGTTTGATTTCAATATTCTCAGATTAAGTTTTTTAATATTAATCTGTGACAAGACATGAGTGCATGAAATGAGTGAATGAGTGAAATATTGCTATTGACTGCAAGGAGATATAACTTCGTCAACAATAATTTCCAAATCATAATTCCGAAGCAATGGCGGGGCATGAATTGTGCTCGGATATTTACAGAAAATCGAAATATCACTGTTATCTTGTTTAAGGCTCATTTATTGAGTTTACAAAACGTTGTACCCAGGAACAGTTTTCTACCTTATACTTCCTTCACCAACACCCTTCCCGGGAGGTTGCTCGCTCTCTGTACTTACGATATTTTACTTTCGTAGAAAGGTAAGTATTCACGTTTTTTATTCTGTTGTCTGTGTGCCGGTTACAATATTTGTACTGCAAAATGTTCAAATTCGATGCCGATGGTTATAAAAAGTTGATTGGTATTTTAAGAAAATATATTTTTCTTAGTTTCATGACTTGACAACACAGAAATGACGCTCTCTTGTGTTTCAGCTTCCTTGTGGTTTCTTAATTGTGATTGATTTTTGTGACTACCGCGTAAGCGGTAGCCACTATGTCAGAGGCTTGCTTGATTGCTTGCTTGCTTACTTGCTTTCTTAAATGCTTGTCTTGGACCATGACGTCACACTCAGCACTACGTCACACAACTGATGTACGTCAACACTGGGCAGTTTTCGCCATTTATCGCCAACCTTTCCGGTGCAATCAAACATGCAATTCAAATGCAAATTAGTTTTTTTATATGTACGTTGTTTTGCTTACATTTTTGAGCTGTTTGAACTTTGCACGTCTTACTCAAGTATAATAATCAATAATATTTAAACGACACATTATGGTCTTCTAGTGTGTAAACAGGCTGCTACAGTATTTAGACGACACCTTCAGGCTTCAGACCGCCGACAGCAGGCGATTTGTTTGTCTATAGACGATTTGTTCGTCTTCTGATGTGAAAACGGCTAATCGCTCTATTTTATGAAATTTGGAGTTAATCAATACGGCGGATGCGTAGCAAAACCAAATGAAATTTCTATACTTTAATAGTAACATGTAATATTTGTAGATGTGAATGCTGTCTGCTGAAACTTTAGCATATAGCTCACATGCACAATCAGTTTATGATGAATTATGTAAACATAAGTAGAGGCAGGAACGCAAAATAAAAGGCTGTGTCATTCTACCTAAAATTATGCTTCGGCCGAAGAGGTCTGAACGTGATCCCAATTATTTTATACATCGTCACGCATCGTCATTCATCAGCATTAAGTTTACTGTCATCATTGAATATGATCAATGAATGTGGTAATTATTGGCATGGTGAGTAAAATATAGCCTGCTCATTAGGGAAAGAATGAGCCCCTTCATTAATCATCAGCAATGGACAGTGATAATAATATGCCGATCCTCACTGATCCATTGTATTCTTTTCTGACTGACAAAGGATTTTATACATGCACCAATGACCTTCGGTAATGACATAGCCCATTCTTTGGACTACAGGGTGTCTCAAAAAAACGCAACTACTTAAATATGCAGAACATTAATACAGCTCTAAAGCGCAATAGATAAGCACCTCTGGGAATTGAAGATGGCTCTTAATCCTTCATTTAAAATGCTAAAAGTTATCTTAACTGAACTATGGTGCAAACCCGAACAATATTAATATTCTTGCATATTTAAGTGGTCGCGTTTTTTTTGCGACACCCTGTACAGTAGTGTCAACCACGCGCTTTCGTATAAAAAGTCACACCCAGTTTACCGTTCTGATTCAGTGAATCAGTTTAATCAGACGATATTCATGGCTTCGCGAAGAAATAATCCGGCCGTTATTAACTACATACACAACCTGTCACCTTTGAAAAAAGGTAAACTGAATGGTGCGACTTCAAACTGCAAATGCAAGACAAAAGCAAAGACAAATACAAGACAAACGGGTACAACTATTAGCACTAGTTATTCTGCCAGCTAAAATCCATGATACCACTCAGATGACAAAGACAGAGCGGTAGTCACATGTACGCACTGCGTACCTATTTTTAATTTTTTTTGTGAAATTGAAAGTTTGTTTATTGCCAGCGCAGTCAAGGGGTTTAGTGGCCTTGTTTCAGCACTATTTCCATGCCGTAATTTCTATTTCACTTGTAAAATCGTCTGTAATCTCTCCATTGTGTTGAATTCCGGTATGTGTCTGATGTTCAAACGAGCATTTTGTCCCATGCAAGGGTTTTCCAGACATAAAATCTCGTCAAATCTCATTAGGATATGAAGTCGTTTCACAATTTCTCTGTGACACCTCGGTATGTTTGTATTCACAAAACAAGCCTTGAGAGCAATATAGTATACGTCATGAAAGTACAGTATATGCCATGAACTAGACTGAAAACAGTAGACACTCAGTGAAGTAGCCTCAAATATTTTCATACTTCGATCAAAACATTTGCAAAAAGTGATTCTGACGAACGAGTTTGCAATACGTGGGTACCATTCACAGTAAACCTCGCAGAGAGTCCCCGTCCTCAAAAAACAGCTGTAGGGCAGTTGTAAGAGTGTTAATAGGTATACGGTTACGAAACCGTAAACTCCGTAAGATGGCGGATATATCTCGATAGTCGATGTTTTTGCAAGATAAACTTTAGCATTGGTAATCGTTTTCTATTCTGTAGTTCAAGTTTAGGAAGTTTATTATAATTTTATGTTTTGTATGAAATTCAAGATGTGCATTGC